TTGGCTGCCACACTCTTCTTCGTGGCTTTGGATCTCATGCTCGAGTGGCTGGTGCTTGCATATCGTAAGATGTGCATCCGCGAGTGGGCTGTGGTATGGCTCTCGTTTCTTGCGATCAACCTGGTGTCGCTGGATTTGGGTATGCTCATTGGAATCGGTGTTGCAGCCCTCAATTTTATTCTGAACTATATCCAAGCTCCTGTCATGATCCAGGATTATTCGCGTGATGCGCGGGATATCTTAGAGCCCTTAGTAGTTTCCAGGAATCTTGGTTCTATCGCGCACTTTGAGTTTCACGGATATTTATTCTTCGCATCGGTTGTCCAGCTTATTGAGGGTGTGCAGAAAGGTGTCTACGTGCACAAGTGTAGCAACACTTCAGACAAGCAGAAGTATCTACCGGTATGTGCGTTATCGCACAACATTACCGTCGAGTGCTTGGATGGCTCTCCAGCACCAAACTCGAATATTTTACCAACTGAACTTGTCGTCATGGACTTCACTCATGTGTCTGGAATGGACGCAACAGCTGCTCGAGGTGCATTCCTGATCCTGAAAAAGTATTGCGGAAACCAAGGGATTTCGATTTTGTTTGTGAATGTACTTCCCAAGATTCGCAAGCTATTGTTGAAGAACGAGGTCACGAGTAAGGAGAGTTTCTATGATACTATGAATGCGGCTCTCGAGTTCTGTGAGAGCCACTTGTCCAATGGCCGCTAGTATCAGCTAAATCAATGCATGAACACAATATACGCATTGTTAAACGACACGAAAGTGCGAACACTTAGCACGTGGCTCGTACATTTAAAAAGTAGTGTAAAACTCATGTACTTAAGTAATAAAATGCAGTCTAAATACAATCTAGATTAAAAAATATATATTTAAGACTGCATTTTTTATGTGTATCTATATTTTAAAAAATACAGATTTAATCTAAATTAAATCAACTGAAAAAGACTTAACAAATATCCCCCCCCCCCCCAAAAAAAAAAAACCCCCCAAAAAAAAAAAAAAAAAACTTAAGACTTTTTTTAGCATCGAGATTCTTTTTTTAGCATTAACATTTCAAAATTTATCCCTCGTATTATCCTTCTGTTCAGTCAAAGGCTCAGAGCGCGACATCCGCTAGGTTCGTGGTAACACAAACCTGCGTTGCCATTCTCTTTTTATTTAAACAAGTCTGCTCTTGGAAATTGCCCCCATTTTCTTAATTGACTAACTTGATCGCGGTTTCACTGGAGACGTTGTAGTCGCGGTATCCAAACGCGCTTGCTGAGGGACTCTCCTGTCGATACAGCCTGATAAGTTCACCGTCCTGGTCAATCAGCATACTTCATCCTCTTTCTTTGTCATTTTGACAGGAAACATGCAACGACTTTTCGTTTGAAATACCTCTGTGAGCATCATTACGTGCTTGATTAGGCTCTGAGTCCATGCCAACAAGAACTATTAAAATAGTTCTCGTTGGCATGAACAATATTTAAAAAAAAAAAAGGAAGCCCGGCCCCGCCAAAAATGGACAGGCTGCAGGTTTCTTGTAAGCAGATTTCAAATCGTGTTACTTTCTTGAGGAGCCGAAAACGGCTTGCTGGTGGGAAAATTCGTCTTCCCAGTACTTTGCCATCATCGATGCCATTCATTAATAATGGTTTTGAAAAACCTGGTCTGACTGAAATGATTCAGTTCGGCGGCTCGCCCACTAGGGGCACAGCAAAATTTCATACACGAGTATTATTTCTATGTTCCCAAACATTAATCCCTTACTAGTAACAGTGTAAAGTTAACACGGGCATGTGATCTTGGTCACCAACGGCTTGCATCGTGCAAGTTGCACGGCCCGCAGTACTGCCAGTACAGTAGGAGTTCCTCGGGGAATCGTCGGTACAGCACCTTCACTTGTCTTGGGATCTGCTCGTGCATTACATACCTCAAGCCAATCCCCATAACAAAATTCAGTGGACATAGCCTGAAAGCAGCGCTTCCAATGTTGCATTCCTGCATTCTCAGTGATTTGACCCAAGCGCGTACAGGCTCATTCTGCGTTCCGACCCTCTGCAGTGAAGTAAGTGTCTGGCCTCGCTGGGCATGGCCTCCATCACTCATGATCGAAGTCGGAAGCCAAGTTTCTCTGCTTCGCGAGCGTTCCTACTCAGCAGGGGACCAACGCATTCCAACAGTAAACCTGAAGTCAGTTCGTACAGCTTACACCCTATGACCAAGTTCGCGAACTCGTTAATGTATGGAGTTGTCAACTCGATTCGAGCCATCCCCACCATGTACGGCTACGCCGCCATCATCTTCAGTCACCCGACCTTCTTGCACTACATGCCGGCTTTGTCCAAGCTCGTCATCTTCTCCAGCGCAATCCACCAGCTCATGTTCACGCTCATGAGTTCGCTGCCGTTCGCCATCGGTCAAGTGCAAAACGTCGGTCTCATCTTTCTCGGCGCCATGGCCACGTCGATTTGTAACTCGCTTAACGACAACGACGACGAAGACGTGACTGCGGAGGCCAAGATTGCCACGACTATCGTCACTATGGGCGTCGCGACGGCGTCGTTGGGCGTTTGTCTGGTCATCATGGGGCGATTCAAACTCGCTGCTCTTGCCTCGTACTTACCGATGCCCGTGATCGGTGGTTATCTTGCATACACCGGCATCTTCTGTCTCTTTGCCGGGTTTGCAATCAGCACTGGATTAGTGGTCAATGATTTCTCGTCGATGCTCGATGCGTTCAAGGACACTCACAACATTATCCTTTGTGTACCAGGATTTATCGGTGGTATATTACTATTGGTGATTTCGAAGATGTATAAGAACCCGTTCGCACTATCGACTGCTATTGTGGCTATGCCAGTATTTTTCTTCTTGGTTCTGGTAGCCGGCAGTATTTCGCTCGATGAAGCACGTGAGAGCGGGTGGATGGAGCCGGCCGAGAAATCTGCCTCTATCTCGGAGATCATCAGTCTGTACGATGCCTCTCTGGTTCACTGGGATCAGATTCCTAGACAGGTCGTCACGTGGCTCGGGATGGTCTTGATCGTCGCCTTCTCTTCCAGTCTGGACGTCGTTGCCATTGAGATCGACATGGGCAGCAAACTCAACATTAACCACGAACTAAAGACTGTGGGCTGGTCTAACATTGTGAGTGGGTTATTCGGAGGGTACACCGGGTCGTACAACTTTGAACAGACCATCTTCACTTGTCGTTCCAAGACCAACTCACGCATCGTAGGCGTTTGTGTCATCCTGGCGGAACTCGCTATCGTCGCGATCCCTGTGGCCGTCATGAGTCATGTACCCACGTTCTTCGTTGCAGCCACACTCATCTTCGTGGCGTTGGACCTCATGCTGGAGTGGCTGATACTCGCTTATCGCAAGATGTACCTGCGTGAGTGCGTCGTCGTGTGGCTGACGTTCCTGGCTATCAACTTCTTCTCTCTTGAGCTCGGTATCGTGGCCGGCGTGGGTGTAGCTGCTCTCAACTTTATGATCAGCTACGTACAAGTTCCAGTCCTGAATCCTCGCCCAATAGCATCAGCTCCGAGGCCGAACTTTGGCGAAAGCGCAGTGACTCGCTTTTCCGTGGCTGTACCGAATTTTGGACAGAGTACTATGAGTTTCCGTCCCAACGCGTCAGTGGGGACACGTAACCTCGCTCAGAGCACCGTGTTCAACGTGAAAAACGCTGGTATCGCACACTTCGAGTTCTGCGGGTACCTCTTCTTCGGTTCGGCTGTTAAAATCCTGGACGGCGTTCAGAAGGGCATCTACGTTCGTAGACAAACAAGCGACAATGAAGACGAGCGAGGAACACAGCGTGAGTCCAGCTTCCTCCCAATCCGCGCGTCCTGGAATGCCCCGGTTGAGTGTCTTGATGGTACGCCCACATCGGACGAAAATGCTATTCCAACTGAGTTCGTTGTCATCGATTTCACTCGCGTATCCGGCATGGATGCGACTGCAGCATGCAGCGCCTTCGCTATCTTGCACAACTACTGTAAGATCCAAGGCATCCGTGTCGTATACGCTAATGTACGTCCAAATATCCGTGCTCTGCTGCTGAAGAGTAAAGCAGCGACTGATGACAGCATCTTCGCCACGACCGACTCAGCTCTCGAGTTCTGCGCGAAGCAGTTGATGCCTGATGCGAATGGCTCAAAGGAGACTCGTGGATACGCTAATGAGCCTATCAGCTTGTTATTGCACCGCTATTTAGGAGAACCCGACAACTCGAGGCTGCTGAAAGGTGTCGACCAGTTCTTCAGTAAGCGTGAGATCCCTGCTGGTCACGAGTTCTACCACGTTGCAGAGTCCTCGGAACATTTTTACTTCTTGGCTCGTGGGTCGGTTAACCTGCTCGTGAACGAAGACGGCAGCGTGGACCCCGGCCAACCTCTCACTCAGCTGCAGACTGTGCTGCCTGGCTCCATGTTCGGTGAGGTTTTCTTCTTCAGCCAGCAGCCTCGTCAAACTGTAGCCATCGCAGCCGAGCCCTGCACGGTCTTTGAGATGAGTCGCGAGCAGTTCGACGCTATGAAGCTCCGAGCCCCCACACTATCTGTCAGCTTCCTCGACGTGGTAGTACAATCCATTCTGAAGTAGCCATTCGGTAGCTACTTCGCCAACCGCTTCGAGCGGTACATTCACATTAAATATAAGACTGTTTGTTGAAGCAGACTTCAATTTCACTTTGATTGGTCAAAAAGATCTAAAAATTAGGTAGACATACACTTTTTTGCCACTAATTCTCAGACCAGACACACGGCTTCCGACCTGCCGCCGTGATGGCCATGTACGAGGTGCAGGAGCCGTGCTACTACTCGGTTCTCGATGTGGACGCGGACGCAAGGTACTTGTCTCTCTATTCGCGCCTCTTCCGTCGCCATTCTCCTACTATAGCCTACACAATCACGCTGTGACTATAGTCCATCGCTTCACACTAACTGTATATTGCTGTGCTACGAGCAGTCCTTCCGTGATCGTCAAGGCTTATCGCTCCATGGCGCTCAAGTATCATCCAGACAAGAATCCCAACGCTGAACCAGAGCAATTCCAAGCGATTACTGAGGCTTACGAGGTACTCTCGGACCCAGAAAAGCGACGGCTGTATGACCACTACGGTCCATCGCTCAAGCCTCGCCTAGGCGAGACTTTCGCCCAATTAGCACCACTGCTACTGTCCTTCGCCACAGGCTTCATTGGCTCCAGTACGCGCGCATATAGCGGCTCGCTCAGCACTCGAGCCATGTTCGGCTGGGAGGTCTGTCTTATGGGCGTCGCGGGCATGTACTATTGCTACCAGCCTAATGCCAAGGACAGCGTAAAACCACCGATCAAGCCCCAGATCAAATCGAAGAGAGAGGTCGTATCCGTATCCGACTACGTGACTATCACATCCATGGGCCTATTGATGGGTAATTTTACAGGCTGGGCAGCCACGGCGGTGGTGTTGCTCTGCAAGTCAATTATGCTGGGAAGTTAGTTGACGGTGAGTAGCCCTTAGTGTGAGGTGCAGCTGCACGAGTATAAAGGAGACGATAGTGTTTTTTTTGCAGGAGAGAAGAGAGGAACGAAGAGGTTCTGCCACTCACTTAACACATGAGATGCTTTAACGTTATTTTACAATTGTTTATGTGTTGTCTGATTGACAACATTTCAGTGTGAAGGTCTTGTGTGCCGATGTAGAATAGGCCCCGGATGTTGCTAATCAGCAGCATCTGAGGCCTGTTCTCGGCAGTGCTGATACATTTGACTATAACGAATTGATTCATGGGTCGGATGAACTCTTGCTGCTCAGCGCGAGAAAGCACTGAAGAATTTGGTTGTGCCATTTCTCGAGACGTCGGCCCATCCGGTTCTTGTTCAAAAGCCCTAGAAAATTGCATGTTTGAGAGCTTATCATGCGCTCGTACATATCCGATGGCACTCGACGGACTGGAAGCGCTTGCGACATCCAGGCAAGTATAGGAGTCGTCCGCCAGGAGAAGCTGCTGCTAGGCCAACCACCTTGGGGGTATCGAGGAGGTTTTATCATACAAAGCAGACAGTGGTTTTCTTGTGCTTCCAACTGCTACGGTGCATTGAGAGCCCGTGGACCACGGCCGTGCTGTCTAGCATAAACATATCAACTTCAACGTATGCCAGCATAAACAGTAGTCCGGTGTTCCGGATTTTTGATTGACAAACAAACTTCAGGATCAATTTCACGTCTGACAATTCTTGTCAGTGACAAAACCCTTGAAAAACAAAGTAAGTGCAATGGATCTCTGCTCCGAATCAATGGCTCTCGCTGCGCTCGATACTGCATCGATATATCGAATGCAACGATGGTTTCCTGACAGTAGTGCAGGTGCAAATCGGATACCGTGAATGAGAAGTCGCTTGTTTCAGACCGAACTTCTCAATTGTCGATGGTTATTCTCCTTTCGTCGTCGCAGGCAATCAGTATTTGCCCGCGAACATCATCAAATTGTGGATAAGCCGCACTTTCTCTCAGACAGACCAAGCTTGCCCTGCTCCAGAATCCGTCAGGGCCACGTGAAGAGCGTGGCCGATCATAAACACTGTATTGTCTGCCTTACGCTGTGATGCCACGCCAGACAAGAGTACATGTACACGCAAGGCGGCTTTGAAGGCTCCTTTGCTCAACTTCGAGGCGGCTGTCCTGTTTTGTACATGCCAGTACGCAGCAGCTGTCTGACGTCAAGGTAGACTAGTCCAATCTTGCATGCACTGCTCCCTTGACTTGGCCAGCTCCCAGTCACTGGGCCAGTCGATACCTCCGGTACAGCTTTCATTCCGCATTTGGCTCTCCACCGCAAAAGTCTCCAGTTGCATCCAGTACCAAGTCCGTTCGATATGAAGATCTGCACTTGTCTTCTTGCTTTGTCTGCGAGTGTGGCCGCACTCACCTCCGGTTCGCTAGTCGTAGACACAGCTCCCGAGGAGCTTTGCCCGTACGTACTGCCCAAGAACTACGGTGAAGCTGTCAAGATCGGTGACCAGATCTATCGCTTCTCCGTTACGGGCCCGTCCTCCGGTGGCGCGTTCACTCTGCTGCAGACCAGTGCACCGGAATCCACGAGTTTGGGTGTGCTTCCGCATATTCACAAGACTCACTACGAGAATTTCTACTGCACCCGCGGTCGGTTCCAGCTCTGGGCCGAGTCCTACAACTCCACGTCCGAGCAGCAGACCCGCGTGCTAACACAGGGCGACTATGGTGCTGTGCCGCACAACACGTATCACACGTTCCAAGTGCTGGATCCAGACACGCAGATGACCGGCGTCATCCAACCTGGTGGCTTCGAGGTGCTCTTCGTCGCACTCCGCGACTCGTATTACAACTCCAGCACGTACGCGAACTTCGCGCCTTCGCACACGAACTCGTCTGCCGGCACGAACGCCGACACGATCTCGGCGCTTGAGGAATACGACGTGTACGCCCAGCTAACCTGGGAGACTCGTCACGACACGGTGAACGGAACTGCCGGAAGCGGCAACTGGCACAACGGCACGAACGAGCTAGCCGATGACGGCCACACACCGTTCTTCGTGGCCAAGAACTTTGCGCAGAAGTATCTTAACTATGAGAACGGCTACAAGTTGCTAGCGCCCGTGCAGAAGGGTCCTCAGAGCGGTGGCAACTTCACTATGGGTACGCTCACCATGTCGGCGAAGGCCAGCAACGAGACTGTAAACACCATCACGCCCAAGCAGCCACTGGCGTTCCAGCTTGAGGAGGGACAGCTATCGGTTGAAGTGGACGGCGAGACAGCGCAGCTGATCCAAGGCGACGTCCTCTTCGTGCCGGGCAATACAACCTTCAGCTATCACGCTACGGTGCCTGTCACCAAGTTCCTGTACGTTAGCGGCGGAGCTGACGGCTTCGACTACGACCTGCTCCAGAGCAGCGTCGAATGGGACTACGCCGCCTACCCCACGTACGCTGGATACACTGCTTAGATGGCAGGTTCATTCTAGCTAGAGGGAATTGGTAAACCACTTCAACGGCTTCAACTTGATCTCGGACTTCGATTTTATTGCGAATAAAGCTATTCAATATCTGCTTCTTGCACTTAAATAACCGTGCAGACAAGATTAGATTAACGGCGACTAAGATGAGGAATAGACAATCGTGTCCAGTCGCGCAGCACAAAGCACAGGACAGAGGAAAACCAAGTCCAAGCGGATACCATTCAGCTGGTCGACAGGCAGAAATTCGGTTCATGCTCTGACTATCATCGTTCGATCGCATTTCTAATTTCGTCCACTCCCACAAATTCTTTGCCGTCTTTTTCGACCAATCATCGTAACGTCGTGTTGGACACGTCGCATTTCCGACAGCGTCTCAGTCGCCTTCTTACCATGGAGCTGCCCAAGGTGTCCAAGGTGTCGCCCGCTATGGCCACAGATCGCGGCGCTGCGCTGCGCATGTTGCTAGTACAGGGAGTATTCTTGTTCACTGGCGTCTTCTCCACGTGCTTGGCGCAGTTCGTATTCTACCAAGGCGCAGGCGACCAGAAAGCCATGCTATTGCCACTGTGCAACTATTTAGGAATGATGCTCGTGGGGCTACTACCCGCTGTAGGCGCTACTGCGGCTCAAAAGACTATAGAGAAAGGAAAAGAGACGCAAGAGAAGAAGCTGGAGATGCCAGAAAGTCCCAAGAAGCTGCAGATGCAGGTCAGCACGTCCCCAGAGGACGACGTGGAGCAGCCGGAGCTCACGCCCACACAGACCGACACACTGACGCCCACGAAGCGACGCTCTATGGATCTGGAGATTGTGGACATGGAGCTCACACGACGTGCCACCGTAGCCGAAGAGGGTAACGAGAAGGAAGAGAGCGAAGACGTTAGCAGTGACGACGAGGCGAAGCCAGCGCTGGGCTTCCGCGTGACGCCATCCTCTGTCTCCTTCTCATTATCCACCGTACAGCTCTGCATCATCGTGTCGGTGGTACTAGACTTCGCTGGCTGTATCTTCTCCAACGTGGGGCTCTCTATGGCTGGCAGCGGACTGTACCAGGTCGTGTACTCAAGTGTCATCTGCTGGTCGGCGCTCATGTCCCGCTTCATCCTCAAGAAGGTCGTGTCTAAGGAAGAATGGTTCGGAATTGCACTAGTGACCTTCGGACTGGCGTTTAGCGCACTGGGAGAGTCAGGAAGCGGACGTGACAACGCCATTGTGCTCATGGGCTGCTTCAATACGCTGATTGGAGCGGCATTCTACGGCGGTAACTACGTGACTGGAGAATACACACTCAAGCTGGCGGAACGACCACATCCGAAGGAGTTGTGTCTTAAGATTGGCGCGGCTTGTGTCGCTATCATCGCCGTGTACCAGAGTATTTTTGTGCTACCGGAATGGGACGCACTGGTGACGCAGCCTATCGCTGAGGCTAACGGCAACACAACGTACATTGTGTCTGCGCTTGTGGCGTATACGCTGTCCCAATTGGCTCATGGACTCACGTATTTTGTGATGCTGGGCTCTAGTGGCGCAGTCACTACTGGCATCATGCAGAGCTTGCGTGCTGTGTGCGTGTTCGTGATCAGCTCGATGCTGTATTGCAGTCAACAGGAATCTCAGTGCTTCGACACGAAACGCGGCGTCGCCACGCTCATCGTCGTGAGCGGCGTCATGTTCTACTCGTGGGCTAAAAGTCAACAAGGCAAGGCCAGTGTGTTAGCTCCATCGTCTTTGCGACGACCAAAGAAGGACCCAAAGACGAAGATGGTCGCAGGTAAAAACTACGTCGTCTAGCTGGATATGGCTGTATCGTATATATTCAATAGTTCACACTTCATGTTACACCTCTTTTAAGTTTGTTTCTACTAGTCTGCTAACAAGCTCTCGGTCAGTGACTGCAGCTTTTGCAGCCGCAGATTCACATCCTCTGGCGTTAACTGGCCAGGACGAAAAAGCTTCACCTCCTTGTCTTCTGCACCATTGTCAGAGATTTCGTTGATGCTCATTCGATCGCTGGGAGCTTCAGCTTGTGTTTGGGACGCCACTGTTCTTTGTGGTGCTTGCTCCGTTTGAGTAGCGATGGACTCCGTAGACGTCGGCTCCGTTGCCATTGCCAGCTTATGTTCCTGTTCGCGCAAGGAGCTCAAAATGGTGTTGCGTTCCCGTCTCAACCGAGCCAACTCTGCATCACGTCGACGTATCTTTTCTTCAAGATTGGCAACACGCTCCGTCTCGTGGGCGAGTAGTGCCTCTTTTTGTCGTGCCAAGTCCCTTTCGAGCTGTCGAACGCGCACCTGTTGTTTACTGTGGTCAGTCTGAAGCAACGAATGGGCTAAGCGAGCGTCTTGGATCTCAGTCTGGTAGATTTCCTGCTCATGTTGCAGTCGCTTTGCACTCTCAGCCTCCAGTTTCTTCCTTTGCAGCTCAAAGTCTTGTTCCTGTGTTGTAAGCTGCTCTCGTAGTCTCTGGACTTCCAGTAGAGCCTCATCCCGCGCTACTGCAGCTACTTCACGCTGCTTCTGGGCATCAAAAAGCACCTCAGCTTGATCATTCAGATCTCGTTCCAGTCTGTCTTTTTGGTGGACCAACTCTCTGGTCTTGACTTCCCATTCTCGACGAACGCCACGCACTTGATCGCGCAAGTCGTGGGCATCTCGTGCAAGTAATCGACGAAGACGTTCCCGATCAGCTAGGAGCACTACATTCTGTTGCACAAGTTCACTGTGACTCAGCGACTCTAACACCTTACGGTCTTTGCGCTTCTTGATCAGCTTCGCTTCGGTTTGGTCCGTTGGCAGGCTAATTGGCAATGTGAATGGCCGACTTGGTAGTTCACTGCTCTTTACTGCTGTACAGAGGGAGCACGCACCATTCGAGTCGGCATGTTCTGCTTCAGTAGAGTCCTTGTTATCCTCCAACAATGCAGCTAAGGATACGGAACTCTCTGGGATGAAGAAAAGCAAAAATTCACCCCATGTGAGTGTACCAGTAAGGGATAACTTGCGGAGTGCAGTCTCGACGTGCGATACGAGCTTTGAGAGTTTTTTAGGGCCTCCGACAGCACTAAGCACGCCTGGATCTCCTCGTCGTAAAGCTTGCAGCAGCACTTGTGAGCGTACTAGCCCAGTGTCATAACAGTCGAGACGGTGAAACAGCGCGCGTAGTGCTGTCTCGGTTGCTGGTCTCAAGATTTTCCCTTCTGCAGGTGGACGCACCGCTGCGTTGGAAATGTCGCCACTGTTCTCGTTTTTCGTCTCCTGGTCTTGCATTCTCACATTACGCATCTGTTCCAGTCGGTGAGCCCATACTCGTCGTTCAGCCTCCAGTGCAGCCTCGCTATTACGCAGCCTCGCCTCCCGATGAGTTACCAGAGTAGACACCAACTCTACTCGCTCTTTGGCGAGCAATAGACGTCGCTCTAACGCTTGTAACCTCGCAGAACCGCTGTGTAGCTGCTCCACTTTATCACGAACTAGACCGCCAGTGAACCGAACCACCGTCCCAGCCAAATTCTGGAGTTTTTCACGCTCCAGCGCCAATCCTCGTACTGCTTGGACAGCCTTAGCGTTGGCCTGTGCTCGTTGAGCTTCGGCTTGGCGCGTAGCTACCACCTCCAGATCACGCTGAGCTTCAAAATCGGCTGCTCGTTGCTGCCAAATCTCTAGCTTCTCTTCACAGCGCGCAAGATCTTCGCTGATCTGGGCTTCTTGTAGTCGGTAGTCCTGAATTAGAGCCTCATTTTCCAGTTCGCTTGACTGAGCTTGGACCATAAGAGAGACGCACTTCTCACGCCAAGCAGCGAGCAGCTGGGTGTACACAGCTGCAGCAGCTTCAACTGTCGGCACAACAGCATCTCCGTTTTTACTGACTATGTTCAATTGGGAACCTGGACTGCGCTCGCCGAATCTAGCTAGTGTATGCCTTATAGTTTTGTCCTGCACGGTGAGTATGGCTTCGAGCGCCTCCACGCGGCTTTTCAGTAGCATCTCTCTTGTTCCAGCATCCGACACAGCGATATTGTGGCCATCATCTATTCTACTGGCGGGCTGGTAATGGTTATTCTGTGAGCCGGTGTACTCCTGTCGGGTTATGTTGCTGTCTCGGCGATCCGGTCTCCTGGATTGACGAAACATATCTTGTCTCTTGTGTCGTTCAGGTGATGGTGTGGTCGTTGCAGCTAAAACTAGAGGTGACGGCTGCCTTTCCATCTCATCCGACACGCTATACTCCATCCTGTGATTCGTGTCGTTTTCTTTCTCCTCCTCTTCCAACTCCCGATTTATCTCCACTCTCAACGTCGTATTCACTACTGGTATTTCACCATCTTGTTCGGTATTTCTTTGCGTCTGTAGACTCTCTGGCGTTAATAATCTCGTCGGTGACGGTACTGGTGACGGCGACCGGACTGTAGCTCCTCCACCGATCTGTGTCTTTAGCTGAAGCTTGGCATAAAGCCTTTCAGCTGCTGTAATCTCCTGTCTGTCTAGCGTTTGCAGCTGTGGTAGCATGGCTAGCACCTCACGGCGGTAAGTGAGCGACTCGGCTATCGGATTCCCGTCCAACAAAAGATGACGGAGGTGCGTCAATGACTGCAGGAAACGTAGCTCGCTCACAAGGGCCACGCAGTTGGTGCCAACGTCAAGCGTCTGTAGCTGTGTGCAGCCAATGAGCGGTCGCAGCGACTCAAGTGCGTTGGCTCGCAGTCGTAGCAGACGCAGTTCTGGCAGCCATATTCCCAATTCTTCGGGTAGCGCCGTGAGGCGATTTCCACCGAGATCCAGCTGTGTCAAGCAGCGCGGCAGCAGCTGCAGGTGGCGTACATCACGGAGCGCATTGCTAGACAGGTTGAGACTCTGAAGCGCCGGGTAGTCTGCCGCGATCTGCGCCGCCAGCTCCGGTGTGAGCGTCTGCAGCGGCATCCAACTTGACGAAATAACGCGCGCAGTTGTGACTGGCTGAAATAGTGGGTGTAGGAATGGTTTTGACCAATAGTGCATCCAACTGTAATTTTATTGGTTAAAAAGTTGATTATGGATATTATTTTGACGAATCATATGACGTGATAACAGGTGTCGGCGTTACCCATGACTCCATTACGCTTCGGTACGAGCTCCGCTCCAACGCCAGCACCGCTCCAACGCCAGCCTCAAGATGCGCGAGCGAGTGGGCAGCGGTGGTTCCCGCACGTCCGACATGGACCCGCGCGAGGAGCTGGAGGATCTGCTGGAAGTGCGCCTGACTGGGGGTAGCAACGGCAGCAGTAAGATGCTTCTGCCCATAGTCTCCTCACGCCGCCGAAACGCAGATGACGACGACGACAATGACAAGCAGGGGAAGCGACGGAGACGTGGTAGCGTTTCGGATTGGCTAAAAATATTGCATGCCGCCGCGCTCTCGCGATTGTTACTGACACCAAGAGGTGCTCGCTCCATGTGGAAGTGTGCGCTGCTGTTGGGCGTGTTAGCGGTGCTAGTGATCGGCGGTTCAACGCTCTTGGCGCTGGAGGCGGTGGGCAGAATGCGTTTTAATGGATACTTTGTGCCACAACGCGGTCACAACGGACAATTAGGCTTCTACCACGAGATGGACGTTGATATGCAGAGTTTGAGAGAGACAACAGGGAGACCCGAGGGGAAGCTTTTCCCTGCTTCTGCACTAAACCCTAGAGAAGTGAAGGCGTGGGTGGCGGAGCGCAAGAAACGCACGAATGGACGCAAATTCTTAGTAGGATGCACGTCACACTGGAAAGGCTACGTCCTGCGCTCGTTCCTGTCGCTGTTTGAGGAGCTCAAGGCCGAGCATGGGTGGGAAGATCTCGATACCTCCAAGAACCCAATGAAGGTAATTTACGACATGGACAAAAAACGCGCCCCCAGCGTCATGCTCTTCTGTTTGAACTCGTTCTATTACCCTATGGCACTGTTGCAAGAATACAGCGCCTACTTCCACGAACTGCGCGCACTGGGTACGATCATCGCGGTGTGGAACGATGACTTACACTACTACGACCAATTCAATCCTATCATTTTACGCGATGAGATTCTAACAAAAGTGGACGTGATGGTGGGCACCTACACGTACTTCATGGACGACTACTTTGCCAAGATTACGGATACCGTGAACGAACGGGATCTACCATTAACCGTGTGGTTGCCACACTCCTCTGGCCCAGACTTTGTGAATGCCTCGTTCAATGAGTATCCGATCAACAAGATTATTCTGTCTGGTAAACTCGGCTCGAACTGGTACCCGCTGCGCCATTGGCTGGGTATTTATCAGCAGGACCACCGGGATATCATGGACGTGTATCAGCATTCCGGTTATTATGTCGCTGATAACCAGTCGGCTATTTACGCGTCCTACCTGCGTTCGTATCGCACTGGTATCACGACGACGCTGATTTTCCAGTACGTTATCGCTAAGATCTTCGAGATCCCTTCGACGGGTACGCTGCTGGCTGTGAACCGCGACGTGTCGCCGTTGCTGGCAGCACTGGGGATGAATGAGGGCGAACATTTTGTGGGATTTGATCGCAGAGACCCAGAGGCGATCATCTGGTGGGTAAACGACCCCCGTAACTGGCCAGAGATCGATCGGATCCGTCGCGCCGGGATGGAACTCGTACGCGAGAAGCATCTAGTGACGAACCGCGTGAAGGCTCTGGATCTGTTTATGATGGAGGGCGAAGCTATGTACCAGAACCCGCCGGCATTGCACCTTAAGAGTCCGTGCCCGTCCAAGGCACTGCCAAACGAGCACGAGTGTCAGACAAGGTTTGATCGCGAGTCGTTCTACAAGTGCGACCGCTGGTTCTGCGGCGCACATTCAATTCTGCCGCTCTGGGGATAAAGTAGTAGATGCTAGGCAACATAATACAGTATGAGTTGACATCTAGCTGTTCCGCTTCAACTTGATCAGTTAACCCGGAGTATTTTAACTAACCCGGTTATATCTTGCATCCAATCATCTATCCGTTGCAATAACTATCAACCAATCATCTATCAGTACTTCTATCCTAACTTTTGTATCGGGTCCAAGATTGAACTTCCCTCACACACTCACGAGAATTCCGCATTGAGCGCGTCTGATTCCGCATTGGGTCTTAGAGGAGGAAGCACCTGGACGGAGAGCGAGCCATGCACTACGAGTTCGTGGCCGGACTGGAGGTGACGTACGGCAACGCGCTGGCCGCGGGCGGCGGTTTCCACCGCGTGACGACCGCCGAGGGTGCGGCCGCCGAGGTGTCCCCACACACGTATCTCTGGTACAAGCTCTCGTCCGAGGCGCCGACTCAAAAAGGATCGCCCCCATCGTCGTCAGATTCTGATTCCGTTCCACTGGCCATCACGCAGATATGTATTGGGGACGAGCAGCCACCAAGTGGCCATGAAGACGCATGGACCAAGTTGGACAAGTCGGTGGATCGCCACAAGGGTCGCTTTTTGTGGTATCAGGCCTCGCAATTCCAGCCTCCGTCGTCACCCTCGACTCAGACAAAGCAGCTGATGCCACTGAAGGAGATCCGAGTCGTCAGGGACCTAAAAGACGTCCCCGAGGGCTTCGAGAGCCTCGACGAACCGCTGCTTAGCGCCGATGGCACAGGAGGTCAGTAGTAGTACTATTTCTGTCACTTTGTAGTAGTAATATTTATTCTAACGCTGTCATTGCTACTGACAGAGGAGCTGCGGACGTACCTGTGCTATCGAAGGCTAAGCAGCGAGGACTTCTCGGGCTCCAAGTGGTCCATTTTGAACCAAAAAGCAGGCAATTGGATCGATGTCAAGGATTTATCGTCCAATAAGTGGAGTGTCGCCCAGATCCTGCAGCATTCGGCGTCGGAGATCCGAGTGCACATTCCGACGTGGAAGAAAGGGCGTGATGAATTCCTATCGCGCTCGACGTGTCGCAATCGAGTGGCTAAGTTGGGGACGCATACAAACGTGTACATGTCCCCGGCCTATCCGTATCCGAGGAAGCAGGGGAGTATGTGGAACGCCAATATGAAGGACCTACAATATGCTCGAGAACAGTTTGACAAGTACTTTTACGACCGAGAGAAGCAGAAAACGTACTTGCCGCGATATCTCATCCCGTTCATCGAGAGATCGCTACTGTGTACGTTTCTATCGAGTGATCTGGCTGACGAGATGAACGTGTTCCATCAGCACGTGCTGAAAAATGTCATTGCGTGTATGCTGGGCGACGACGCGGGAAATGTGATGGTGTATATGCTGTCACTATTGCGGATGATCCTCAATGGCCACAGCTCGTGCATGTTCTTCTACATCAAGTATCCAGGGAGTTATACGGCGGCAAAGTACCAACGTCTAGTGTACACGTCGTACTTGGTGAGCCCGGATGCGCTGGCTGCCATCCCAACACGCCATCCGTGTCGATCTTTCTACTTCATTGACAACGTCGACCTGTTCGTGCAAGCAGGAGGCTTTCGACTGATCCTTCAACGCCTTGCGGTCCCAGATGTTGCGTTGACGGAATTACTGCTGTACTGCACGGTCCTCAATGAAGCGAAACCTTGTCTCACGCAACAAAAGCGACGTCGTAGCTCGTCCTCGGCTCGGCGTCGACCGACCACTGAAGTCCAAACGGAAGATTTCTTTCGAGAGTTCTTGAACGCTACTTTTTCGCGGCTACGGCGTATGAGCGGAGAGGAGCTGAAGGACGACGATGGACTTATTAATCATATCGTGGGCGTTCTAGATCTGTTGTGTCGAGACGGATTACTGCTTGGAAGTCGGAACGCGGAGTCGGATATCGATGAGTCGACGGCTACAGATGGCTTCGGTTTGTCTTGTGATGTGGAATTTGCAGAGCAGATTGAGATCTTCCATTTGGATCTCTCGAAAAAGTTTATCTGCTGTCCGTATTTGTCGCAACGTCTGCTCGGTATTTCTCGTATCAACGATCTGATCTCTATGGCCCAACGAAAAGATACTCTTCAGAGAAAGGCGAGCTTAAGTTTGCGGCGTACGTCGTCATCCGTTAGTACCACGTCGACCTTGAGCGCGAGTTCCTCGAGTGATAACCTAACCTTAACTTCGGGCGAACAGCCAGTGACGAAGTGGTTGCGCACGAAGTACATTGTGGAGTGGCTGACGGCTTCAGACATCCTGGAGGTGATACTGGGCGACCGAGAGAGCTGCGCGAAGTACTCTCTTCAGGAGGGCACCCACTTGGAAATACTGAAGCGCTCCAAGAAGATATTCGGGTTTGTTGCAGCTCACGGACTGTTGACGGAGAAGCACATCGTGCTGATGTGGAAAACGGCGCTGAACCAGCTTCGCTCCGGCAGGAAAACCGTCTTCGATATCTTGATCACTCTGTGTGGTGTTCTTTCGGCTGATTTGATGGATGCTGTCGTGATGCTGCTGACACAAGTTCCTTTGAACGACTATGACGAACTGGTTGTGAATTTTATCAAGCGTGTTATTATGATCGCGTCCAAGCTCGTTGTTGATGCTGAGACGGGTGGGTTTAAAATGTCTCTTACGTCTCTTGTAAGTGCTGCGTCTGGCTCGAGGAACAAACTTAGCCCCGGTGCTCAAAAAGATCTCGAAGTGTTTAATAAGGTGGTGAGTCTGTGCTGCACTCTGTACTGGAATGCGATTCTTCAAACTGAAGCACCCAACGAGAATGGGTCACCGGGACTTCGTGGCTCAATGCGGGCTGAAGTAGAGGCCGCTCTTGCAGACTCGTTGAACCACGTGCAAAAGCTCTGGATTTCCTCTGGTTCCTCATCATCCACTTCAGGTAAAGAACAGCAACAGCTACTGAGTGATTATCTTCGCAAGTGTGCAGAGAACATCAAGTGTGGAACGCTAGTGGAGACGTCCATGAGTTTAATTCAGCGGATTGTGGATGGCTATGGCGGAGGCTCGTCTTCATTGGCTGCTTCGTTGACAAGAGCAAATTCCACTCCTACAACATCCAGCGAGTTGCTGAAAGAACTGAACAATGCACACAACATTGTGTCTGTGGTTGTTGAGGCGATCAAAAACTACGTTGCCCAATCGGATCCCAAGAATCGGTCACAAACTACACATCTTGTTGCCATCAAGAAGCGTCTGGCATTCCTCGGATATATCGTGACCAAGTCCGATCTAAAGCTGCCTTTTGAAGCTGTTTGCCAATTATGGGGATGTTTCAACGGCCCGGAAAGCACGATGAAAGAACATGAGGTATTCTTTGCGTGGTTTACGACGGTCATTCCTGACCCAAATAACTTCGTCCACCGAGCGTATTCAGGCCAGACGGGCTTTTCGGAAGCCGTGGTGGGTGAGATCTTTCAGTCTCTGATTAGGCCAGCAAGTCCAAATGGAAGCGCTTCCCAAATCAGTTTGGATATGCAGACGATGAGTAAGGAATCGTTTTGGGCGCTGGAGCGGCTGTTTCGATTCGTTAACACAAGTACGAGGCGTATTTCCTCCACTGGCGTCGTAGGGAGCACCCAATCGCGTATGGTGATACACAACAAGGAGGACACCGAGCTTTTTGTCGTTGAAGCCACGGATCTGCAAGGCCTCGAGTCGTTGTATGATGTGGCTTTGCGTGCAGACAGTGACGTTGTGAGTCAGCAAGCTATCAATTACCTCATCTATCTGCAACTTCACGTCGGCTCGAAGCTTGTGCGACGTGAGGTGTGGGCAGACTTTGTGGAAAGGTGCCTCTGGAGGCTAAAGGAGGAGGTGAAGACCACGATTGACGCTTCGAAGACGCGAGAGGTGCTTCGCCTATTAGTTTTGCTGAGTACTTTTCTTCATCAATCCGTCGTGCAGACTCAAGACGGTTGGGGAGGGACCTTTGATGGTCCAGAGGAGCTAACCGTTTACGTCCGAACTCAAGGTGGTCGAGTTGCAGCACCGTTTAAGTATCACTTGAGACGAACCTCGCTCGTATCGGAACTGCGAGATCGAATCGCGAAGGACACAGGCCACCCTGCCGATCGAGTACGTATTGTGAATTCAGCGAAGACTAAACTCACAGCGCAAGGCCATGGGAAGTTCACACTTGAGAAGGCGAGAGTGTTCAATTCTTCTCTTGGGTCTTCACGCACGTCGTCAGGGAAGAAGTTGTTGACTCAAACAGCACCAGCTTCTACCCGGAGGCTTAAGCAAACCAGCTACGTTGAAGCCATTCTGTTGTCGAAAGTGGAAAGTGATACCAGTGGGCACACCAATCGCAACATTTTAGACTTCCACGGCGCAGCTGGGGTCGCCGCTGCGGCCGCTGCAGGTGTGGGAGGAACTGGAAACAACAGCAGTCCGGAGAGTGATTGGCACGCGATTAAAACGGAGATTTCAGGAAATGATACGTGGGTGGCGCTTCTGTTTAAGTTGCTATCGTACAACGACGGGATCGCTGAAGAAGCCTGGAAGGTACTCAAGCTGCTAACAGTGGATGAAGATCTGGAAAAGCAGACGCGTACGTTAAACAATGTGTTAGCGATCGATGGGTCTATCCGCAAGAAACCGAGCTCGTTCGAGTGGGAAACTCTACTAGACTCAAAGTGTCCTCCAAAGCTGCTGTATCAACTTGAATTGGTAGAGAAGTTCGCGCTGTGTGGTGACGGACGCAATGACGATGATGATGACGACAAAGATGCCAATGGGACGCATACTGATGCTGTGAGTGCGGCTGGTCTTGATGGTTTGATTGGCACTGTGAATACGTGGAGCGCGTCCTTTATACAACTTGGCGGTCGGACTCGACTCGAAGAGTTTGTGCTATCATCGAGCCCGCGTCAACTGCTTGCTCAAGGAACGCTCTCAGTGATGTGTTTGGCCAAACTTCTCAAGTTGCTTCGCCATTTCGTGCTTGTGGAGTCTAAACTGGCAGAGGAAAATGGAGATACACTCGACAGAAATCCCCAACAATTGATTCATCGGCTCCTGGAAACGCTGAGCAGTCTCCAAAGTGTCGAGAAAGAAGCCAAAGAGGCTGTTTCGTCTACTCTAGCTTCTCAATCGACTCAGCAGCCTGCATTGACTGAGAGCTCTGCGCCGCCACTTTCTCTAACGGAGTATACTCGCCCACAAGTTGAAGATCCGGACAACATCGACGATATTCCGAGTGAAGCGTACTTGATGACTCGGCTGCTATCTTGTATTGCCACCTGCACTCTTGAGGCAAACCAAGGAGCGTTGGTCTTGCTGGAGAGCTACTCAGGACATGGAGAAATCATTCTACATTGTCTCGTTGAGAGCCGCTTCAAGCCTGTTCGCCTAGAGGCTGCCAACATGATCGCTGCGTTGTCTACCACTAGAAACAAGCTCCAAGAAGATCGCGTCGCGTGCTGCAACTACTTCTTGCAACTGCTGGGCGATTACTCGGGGCCCGTGAGTGATGAGGAATACTACAATGTGTTCACACTACTCGTCACGAGTGTGGAGGACTTGACGAAGTTTGCGATTCTCCCGTCCAGCCAAATTTTGTGTCGTCGGATCAAGGCTTTCGAGAGTAAAGATGATGCTCTGGGTGCTCCTGCTGACCCTGTGCTGCCTACTTCTCGAAGAAGTAGCATGGAAGTGAGAAGACGCAGAGAGCTGCCCGTGCCAGGGAATCAAGTTCTTCCGCCTGCCCCCGATGCGCTGCTAGAAGGGCAGCTATCCACGCTGCTTGCTATCATTAAGCGGATCCCGGCTGTGCTGGCGGATGGTGTCCTTGACGTGCCGTGTGATGGACGCAGCTTGCGTGAAGTGGTCGCGCCAACTCTTCACGACCAAGAAGGGATTATTAACGAGCTTTTCCACGAGTGTCTCTTTGCTACACCAGACAAGAAAACGAACGGAGAAGGTCAAAGCGAGGGAAGTGAAGGCGGCTTTATTGATATCCAGGCATCTTCTTCGTCGCAATATTATCTCCGACTACCCAAGTGCCGCAGTGATTCGTGCCGAAAAGTTGCCTTTGATCTCCTCGCGGAGCTATCGATTGATAACACGGATGGACTGCGCTTTCTGCTAACTCAAATGGCCAATCAGCACACCCTGGAGCGTCCTCCGGAGCCTTCAGTTGCCACCTCAGTAGTCTCAACATCAAAACGAAAGAGCTTAAAGACAGCAAAGGATCAATTCCTTCAGCGCGGTAAATATGTGGGGCTCAAGAACCTTGGATGTACGTGCTACCTGAACTCTACAGTCCAGAGCTTCTTCATGATGCCGCGCTTCCGCCGCCAGGTTTTGCGGCTTCAGTCAAGCGGAAATTGCAGTGATAAAGCTGAAGTGAAGAGCCTCACGTATGAGCTTCAGTCTTTGTTCGCTCACCTGGAGGGAAGCGCGAAGCCCTACTACAACCCTCGTCCGTTTACCCGAGCAATGAAGACGTGGGATGGTGAGACTGTGGACGTCAATGTCCAGCAGGACGCCAGCGAGTTTCTCACGTCTTTCTTCCAGCAGATTGAGTCGGAGATGAACGGCATCAGTGCTGGCAGTGGAGATCAGTATACCAGTGACGAGAATATCCTCAACACATTCTTCGGTGGAGAGTTTAGCAATGAACTTGTAGCTGAAGGAGACCGATACAGTGAGCGGTTCGAGCCATTCCACTTCATTTCCGTGCCTGTACGCGACCGAAAGAACCTGAAAGAGTCGCTGGATGGATGGGTGGAAGGCGAGAAGGTAAGCTACACGTGGGAGAACGGTAGTGGGTCGAAAACGGACGGCGAAGAGGAAGAAAAGGTAACGCTGGAAACGCACAAGCGTATCTCCATCTCGAAGTTGCCTGCCTACTTGATCATTCACTTGAAGCGCTTCGAATTTGATTTCGAGAAGATGCAGCAGATCAAGCTCCATGATCGCTTTGAATTCCCTACTGAATTGGACATGTACCCGTACACCAAGGAAGGTCAACAAGAGAAGAGGAAGCGATCGGCATCATCGGCAGATGAAGGAACAGCCAGTCACGACGTCCGTTTGAGTACGTCCTCGGACAATGTAGATGATGGAAGAACGACAGCTCCGGAGTACTCCCAGTATGAACTAGTGGGGACTGTTGTACACCTTGGTACGGCTCATTCGGGACATTACTACTCGTTCTTGAAAGACCAGCAAGTGCCAAGTCACAAGAACCAGTGGTACGAGTTTAACGACACAGTGGTGACTCCATTTGACCCTTCTCAAATCCCAGACGAGTGTTTTGGAGGTGAGGACTCAGTACGCACTCGACATGATTCAGCCAGTGGATCGTCTTCGCTCGAAGAAGGATCTCCGCTACCAGCCAAGATGAAGAATCGCAGCAGCTTTATGTTGTTTTACGCCCGCGTATCTCCCGAGCTGCGCGTCGTCAGCGATGAGGACGCTCCCTGTGTCCGATTCTCTACAGCTGTGCTTGTGGCTGCATTCTGTTCAAGACTAAAGCGGCGAGTGTCTGCCAGACTTGCACATCTACGTAGCATGGCATTGGTGATTGCACCAGAGCCGATTCGCAAGCTCATTGCGATGGAGAATCGCTTGTTCTGGAGGAAGAGGTACCTGTACGACACGCGATGTCTCAAGTTCACGTACAATCTGTTGCGGTCTTGTCTCGTAGGACTAGAGAACGCCAAGAATATGGCTGTGATGCCACGGTTTGAACCCGTGGAGGTGCAGTTCGAGGCCCTACAAGTGGCAACCAAGTTCGTGTTCGGCACTTTGTGGCAAGGTGGCGATGTGAGCAAAGTCTTGGAGTGGCGTCTCATTCTCCAGTCTCTGTATCACTCTGACATTGGCGGCTGTCGCTGGTTCTTGTCGACAATGGAGGCCAACGAGTCGCTACTTTTGGAGTTGCTAGTGTTTAACGAACATCGTGAAGTTCGCGAGTTGATGGCAAACGTCATCTCGGAGGCCATCGTCACTACGTCGAACACCGAGTTCGAAGAGGAAGCAAAAGAAGAATCGTCGAGTTCTTCCAGCGACGGGAAGAAACAGTTGCCTGCGTCGTTTGAGTTCATGTTCTTCCTCATCCAGCTGATGCCTGGGTTGCTCTCAGTGCCTGTCCACCACCATCGCCAGTACTTCCTCACGATGTACGACTTTGTGCAGACTGGACGCAACGAAGGCTCTTTTCTCGTTGTGAACAGTGTGGTAGGCGCCATCGTGTCGCTTCTTACAGGTCTTGGACACACGCAGCCATTGCTCCAATTGCAGTTGAAGAAACACAAGTCCAAGCAGATTCTGAAGCGTATCGACCTCAGCGTCACGATATTGAAGCTCTTATCGGTGCTTATTCGCTGCAGTTTGCCTCCTGCCATGGACGTCGAGTCAGATGCTGCCCACCCTCTGATTCTACCGGCTAACATGGCGCAAGAGCACGTGGATCTCACACCAGCAGACCACGACGTGCTTCTCAATGAACGCTTCATTACACTACTCACTCAACGCGCGAACCGCTACACAAAGGAGACTAAACCGCTGGAGCAAATTGTGAGTCACCTATGCTGGGAAAGTCGACGTGTGACTGCGGCGTTCGTGGATAAGATCATGCATGGTATTGAAGTGGAAGATCATCACGATGTCAAGCCATACTTCCGTACGCTGAACTCGCTCTTCAAGATCCGCGATTCTCTAGCCCCAGAGCGTCTTAAGGATGGTCTCACCAAGCTGGTAGCTGTGATGGCATCGCAGCAACGCTACTATAAGGCCACGGAGACGTCACTGGACATGTTGGCACGGCTCGCCAAACGCCACAGTGGCGTGACAAAATGGCTGCGAGACAACCATCAGAGTTGTGTGTGGATGGAGAAGTGGCTAATGGCTCACCGAGGTGCAGAGGGGTATCTGCAGCAGCGGAAGACCGTCCTGGTGAAACCCAACAGCACGTCGTCATGGGTGAACGTGAGTGTGACGAGTTCTGGGCTCATCAAGGCAATCGACCGCTCCATCACGAAGTTGCTACCGCGTATCCGCAGCATCTTAGACCCGGAAGCTGTCGTCGAGACGTTCTACGATAGTGACGACAACCCGCAACGTCTTGTGGGCAAGCGCGTGCGTGTGAAATGGGCCAAGGACAAGTGGTACGAAGGCACCGTGCAGCAGTTCAACGAGGACACATACGAGCACTTCGTGGCGTACGATGACGGCGATAAGCGCTCGTATCACATGTCGGAGAAACTCTTTTACGTCGTGGACTTGACACCATCGCCCAAGCCTCGCAAGAAGAAGCAGCAAGCTTGAACGGCTGCGAACTGGCAGTTGTAATTACTCTATAAATGCAAGGCTGCTTGAACAAGTTGGCCGATCCTCTTGTGTACTGACACTGACTGATTGTGGATGAATTGAAGGGGCTGGTTGTCTGGAAATCGGTACGTCGAGTTTATCATGAGTCTCACATCCCATTTTTATCGTCAGGAGCTGCAACGGTCAATGCTTCTAGGCAGAAATAGGCCTCGTATGTGGACGTGACGAATGGAGCCACGCAGTTTGAGCTCTACCGAGCTGCACGATGACAATTAACCCACCAAAATGCGCTGTGAACATGGAACAGCGACTGGCGGCGCTGCGGCGCGACCAGGAGATCGACGGGTTGAGAGTCTACCTCATCAAGTACAACCTCTTTCCACGCAACCGAGACCCCCACAACTCACCTATTCGTTTGGAGGAACTCAAAGAGCTCGTCAAGCACTGGAAACTTCATCGACAACGTGGATTTTGGCGCGATCATCCGGATAAAGACGACCTCGTTCGTGCCTTGTTGCAGCATATCAAGAGCGAGGCTGCGAACAAGAAACGTCGACAGGAAGCACAGGACAAGTATCGCAGCAAAACGTTGACTGGAGCTGACGATGGAAGTCCCGGGAAGCATCGAGACTTCTCGACGTTCTTCGGTGGCAACGCGAATGCCCATTCGAGTGGGGACGAAGACGAGAACGGTGATGATGACCGAGAACAAGCCGTGGCTGTTGCCAAGAAGAAAAACTTCGGTGGCGATTTGTTCTACCAACGTGGCGACTACAACGAAGGGCTCATCTATCTGTCTCGAATCGACAGGTCTCGCTTCCAGTCTGAAAGTCACAATCCGTGCCAAGATCTCCTCACGACGTCGGCATCTGCACCTACACCACTCAACCGCCTACTGGTGACTCCTGATGCCAATAGCAAGCACAAAGGTGCTGCTGCAAGTGATAAAGAAGTCGAGCGAGCAATGAACCAGAGGCCGTCGATGTTGATTGCTCCCATGCTTACTGGCTCCGTCAACACTGCACATCTGACCAAGGATACGAAGCTCAAGTCTGTTGAAGGATTATACAGCATTTCATGCCACAAAGGCTACGAGGCTCAACTACTGCGCGAAGGTGCGCTCGCTACGCTGTCAAGTGTCCTCAAATTGGACGATCCGACTATCCGACTGTACTCTGCAGCGGCGATTCTGAACCTCACGCATTATGTTCCAGCGCCGATGTCACCACTGCCTACTCCAGTGAAGAAGGTGAAGACTCAGTCATCATCTTCTCTACTGGCATTGGCACCTCAAGCGACAAAAGATCGGTACTCAAAGATGATAGACGAAGGCGTCATTGCAGCGCTACTGGATCTCGTGCATACCCCACATCCGACTGTCAAGGCTTTGTGTGCCCGTGCGCTTCTTCGCTTCACAATTGATGAGTCTCACCACTTCGCCATGGTGCATGAAGGTGTTGTAGCTGCGCTTTCGCAGATTATGGCAACAGTGACCACAACGGCGGCGTCACCTTTAGCTGCACCGAATGACGTGAAGCTCTTCTGTGTGTTAGCGCTCGTCAATTTGTCTGGTGTACCTCGCGCTGTCACGTGCGATGCGTTGTTGAACTCGATCATGGTGTTGGCCAGACAGGGAGACACTGTGACGCGAAGAATTTGCGCTCAAGCGCTACTGAACCTCTCGATTCTTCCTACAACTCGTGGAATAGTGGTAGACGAAGGAGCAATCGCTGCTTTGGAAGTGTTGACGGCTGTGGCGATGAAACCGCTACAACTCATGCTCTTGGAGATGATCACGTGTACACTATGCAACTTGGCTGCTGTCAAGAACAACCAAGACTCACTGACGAAGAACAGCGCGTTGACGACCTTGTCGGATATCCTCATAAGCGTTGAGGCAGAGCTGCGTCGGATGCAGAACGCTGCCAAGACAGAAGACAGTGCGGAAGAGGAGGCAGTCGCTAGCTCTCTGTTGGTCTCAATCCGCAAGAACTGCGTCAACTCTATCGCGATGCTCTGCTGCAACCCAAAGCTCCAAGTCCGTGTACGCAATGCTGGCTTCATACCGAAGCTTCTGGACATTCTTCGACGCGATGAGTTTAACGACGACGAGTACAGCGATGATGAAGATCATGTTTTCTCACGAGGTATCGATCCTGAAACCGAGAAGTTTGTGGTTGTAGCACTTGCCAATCTAGCGCTAGACGATCGCTGCCGCCCCAGTCTCGTGCAAGACGGAGCAGTTCCTCTCTTCCTCGGTTTGTTACGTGCTGCGGAGCCTCCTGTCTTAGTTACAAGTTACACAGGCGCTGCAGATAACCAAGAAGATAAAAGAGCGGCTGCGTTGCTACTCAAGCTGGACTGTGTGACGGCATTGAGCAACTTGCTGCTTCATCCCGCCAACTTCCAGGCATTAGTGGATGCAGGTGTGGTGCCTGCATTCCTGGATCTTATCCGCAACGAGGACACATCCGCTAGCAATAGCAGCAAGGAGATCCAGAAGGCTTGTGTTTATGCGATGCTGGGTTTGGCCAAAGACCCAGGAATGAAGACTCGACTCGCAGAAGCTACTCAAAAGCGTGTGGATGGGGAGAATTCAAGCGACCAAGGCGGTGCCATTCCGACAATGCTGGTGTTCGCATCGAGGAATCTGGCCAACGCTGAACTCTGTGGTGTCTGTATTAGCTTCTTGCACCACTTGTCGTCGCGAGCTGTGAATCACGAATTATTATTCTACGAAGGAGCTGTGGGTCTACTCGTACGTGTGTTGAAGAAACCAAGCTCAGCAGAGCCACCAGCCACGATATACGCGCTCTGGCTGGACTGCTTAGCAACGCTTTCCCACCTCGCATCCTATGAGGCCAGACGCCCTTCACTTCTTGACGACGGCGTTCTTGAAGCTATTCAGCATTTTCTGATCGTCTCGGCTGCAGATCAGCGACCACGTGATACACTCACTGACCGCAGTATCATCAAGGCTCAGTACGCTGCGTCTCAAATCGTTTACAAGATGCATGAACTCTGCAGTGGAATCGCTGTTGCTGGATCGGGAGCGATAGATGCACCAGCATTTTTCTCGTGTTTGCTGCTGCTAGCGACGCAGTCTGCGTCCAAGAACTCACGGTTGTCCAAGTCGACGGTCGCTCTGCAACATCGAACAGCGCGACGAACGGCACTTACGATCGCTAAGGTGGCGCTGGCTGTACCTCAAGGTCCCAGGCTGTTGGCAGAGCATGTGGATATTCCACCTGCGTTGAACATGGTCATGCGCACGGGTATTCACGAAGCTCAAGTGTGCGCTGCTATCGCACTATGTAACTTGGCAGCCGAGCGACCAGCACCAGCGAAAGGCAAGCCTCTTCCAAGAATATGGCGCGATGCGACTGTGGACGACTTCATCGTCATTACACTGCTGCGAGTCAATAGTCCTCAGACTAAGGGGATCTGCGCCAAGGCGCTGTTCAATCTTCTGATTCATGAAGACGCACGCGACCAGCTCATGCGAGATGGCGTTCTCTATGCGCTACTGAAGCTTGCTCGGCTGGAAAGTGACTCCATCCGTGATCTAGCGCTGCGTGCGCTGTACAACATCTCTCTGGATGCTAAAAAGACGATGCAACTACTGGAGATGGAGCTCGTGCGGATACTGGCGAAGATGTACCAAGCGGACCTGAATAAAACCATGAAGCGACTCATGGTCGGCATCTTGAGCAACCTTTCCAGTGCTTCCTGTGCTCTCAGTAGTAATGTTACTACCAATAATGACGGTGAAGGGAAGAATGGAGAGGGAAATGTACTTATTACAAAGAATGTCGAGCTGCAGATGCTTCAGGAGGGAGTACTGAGTGTTTTGAAAAATCTGGTCAAAGTGCGCGATCCCGAGATGAAGTTGTACGTCGCTAATGTGCTGTATAATCTATCGTGTGCTGCCGACTCTCGCGTCGCGGAGATTCTGGTTCAAGACGAAAGCAACGTGCTAGGCATCCTGGTGGCAGAGCTCAAGTCGGAGAGCAAGGACGTGCGAAAGTATGCAGCCAAGACCCTCGCCAACCTCAGTGCTTCTTCCGTCGCTGTGCAGATCATGACTAACGACGCCGCCTCAGCTGTAGTGAGTGTCATCAACGATACCATGAAAGGCGGAAAGACTAAAACAGGGTCGACTCCTACTGGAATTGGGACTTCAAACACGCTATCCGTCTGCGCTGAGACGAATTGTGCCTGTGTCTTTACACTCCGCAATCTCTTCTCATTGGAGACGAATCAGCGTAAGTTTATCGCGTGCAATGGTCTACCGACTCTTGCCGCTCTCCTCACAAGTCCAGCAATGGAAACCGAAGCTCCTACTCTATGTGTGGCTACTGATATGATCTGCTCGCTTGCTAAGCTCAACGCTGGCTCTGGTAAACCTGGAGAACTGTCGTATGAAGAGCGCCTCGTGAAAGATGGAGTTGTTCGTGCTCTGGTGGCGATTGCCAAGGGTGCAATGGACGGATCAACCACGCGAGCTGAGGAGAATGTGGCTTGTATGAATATTGTCACATCTCTGAGCAGTTTGTCGATACATCCGCGGTGTCATGATGCCATGTTGCGTGATGGAGCTCTGGATGCTCTAGCAGTCTTGTGTGTGACGAACCCTTCTGATACTCGAGCACCTTTTAAAGGTCTCGTAAGTGTACGAGGAGAGACATTTGCACTACACTGCATGATAGTGATACGGAATTTATCGCGTCAAGAGCCCCCTCCATCGTCGTCGGGACCGCCTACAAGTGACAGTGATGCTGGAAATGGTCGTACCGATAAGGCTGAAGACGTGCGTAGCCAGAGATTGACTTCTCAGCCTTCCTTGGTCCCCATCGTATTGGCATTATCACAGTCCTCTAGTCCTCAGACTCGCGAGCACGTGGTGGTGTCACTGTACAGTTTGGCTCGATTGCGTCGTAGTAAGCGGCAAATGATCAAGAACGACGCCGTTAAAGTGCTTCTACGTCTCGGTACGACTGCTATTACGCCATTCAAGCGGCACGTCTGCTCGTTGGCGCTACAAGCACTGGCCACCCATGCTCCACCGCCTGTTCCAGCACAGACTAATAGTTCCGACCCCACAGTAGCTACTGCAGATGCAGTCACGAATGCTGCTGATTGGGATGATCCTCACGTGGATAAGGTGGTTCAAGAAGGAATTGTGGCAGCAATTGCAGCTCTCGCAGACTCACATCAACACGATTTGCTTGTCAGCGTATCAACGAATCTGTACGTGATCGCCACTCCACCCCCGGCAGTAACTGAGTCGATATTACTTTTGCGCACTACAAATCGAGCGATCGAGCAACGTGGCGCTCCTCCTGACTGGACTAAAGTGCTGATTACTGACTTAATATCCTGGCCTGAGATTGAAATGGGAACCAGCCGAACCACAGCTATCCGTGTTGACAGTAATTTAGCACTGGGATCGTTATCATCTGGTCTACAAGAGGAAGATAACGACGAAGATTCCTACTCGGACGCTAGTGATGATGAAAATCGTCGAAAAGGTTCACAAGGCAGATCAAGCGGAAAGGTGATGAGCCCAAGTTCACCAAAGAAGCAGCCGCAATCAGGTCCTAACTCAAATTTGGCTCCTCCGCGAATATGCAGCTCAGACGCGGTGTTGGGCTGGTTCCAATTACTGACTGACCCGAAACCGGAGAAAGTGCGAGTGAGTGTAGACTTTGAACTGGCAGGCCGCCGCGCAGTTGCATCTTCTCCAAACACGTCTTCTGTATCGAGTAATGACGAATTGCCGAAACTTCGTCCCGAGACTTCTCCAGAGGGGTTAACAGAAGATAATTCGAGACTTGGCGGAAAGTTAAATGATGGAGGGCAGTCCACCCTTACACAAGCTCGACAAAATGCAGCGAATAGTGGCACATCCACATACCGACGTTTGACCAGCAATGGAATTCATCGAGGCAATACGCCAGACAGTCCCCTTAAATCGTCTGCAGCTATCGCTAAACGGAGATCCCATCAACTGGAGCCGCTTTCCAATTCAAATTAGATATTGTAGAACTTACATGCCAAATGGACAGCTCAGAATGATGTCGGACTATTTTCTTGTGAACCAAATCTTGAGTTCACAAAAAAGTGACGACGGCTCATTGGCTAAGTTTTTTATGCAATATCAGCTGTGATTTCCGTAAGTGTTTAAGCTTGTATTGAGGTAATCTGCCAGTTACGTGCACTCGACCAGTTTTATGCCACTAGGTTTAGCCATTCAGAGCTCCAGTTTTATGAGTTCTCGGTTTCTATTGACTATTTCAATTGGGGCAAAGAAATTTGAACTGGATAAGGGCTCAATGGTACAAACTTCTAGGCAAAAAGCGGCAGGAAGGTGGTCTCCCGCTAAAATGAGGACATTTTTTAAAGCAGATCAATCTGTGCCCCAAATCATGCAGCAATAACAGCGCTTTGTGCATCAAATTGTCCGATAAAAAACGCTTTCATGAGTGATTCTATCGATGAAAATTGATATCTCAGTGAAAAGGTATGTTGATACAAATTTATGGACTTCGAAAAGTGGCACGTTACTGGCACAATATCTTATAGGCTTTCAGAAGCACCGATAAATGAAAAAAAAAAAAAAACGGCATCAAAAGTTCTCTGGATAATTATATCCAGAGTCTTAGGTGGGTTCCAGACCCCTCGTGGATCCTATGCAAACAAATATTTTTCTGTTTGTGTAATCACTCAAATTTTACTTCCTTACAGAGGGTAAGATTAACCAACGGGATATTTGATGATATCTGACATTCTATGCGAAATTGGGTCAATGTTGACCCAACCGGTGAAGAACGACATTCGTGCGACCTGTCACTAAAGCAACAATCATTTAACATTGGAGCAACATCTACTGATAACTTATGACCAGAGATTGATAGTAGAACGACTTTTTACCAAAAGTAATACAGTAATACCCACCATATAATTAGCTCCTAATAACATGATAGTATTACCGACTTGACTGACTGGTCTAAGTGATATTACTGCTATATTAGTGGAGTATTACTACTGTTGATCTTGGTGGTCGACGGCTGTTGATCTTGGTGGTCGACGGCTGTCGACCACAAGATGTTCACCAGCTACAGATCGAGGCAGATTTCATGAGCCTCCATCTGTGAACCGCAAGGCTCTCGTGGGACGAACCGCTCACTCGTTTGACGGTGTACAGCGAGCTTCGCCCCTGTGTGCCAATTTGGCACTGCCAAAGCTTCTCGTTCCATGATTTTGCTACGAATCAGTCCTGCATTGCTCATTAACCGTTGTTCTAAGTGGGAATTGCCAGTGTAATCAGATGGTACTCCACTACTACAATCTGACCCCAATTGTAGATAATACTTATCTATTATTACTAAAACGAGCTTAGAATATTCCTAATAATCGGACTATTAGCTACAGGTGACCACGGAAAATTCGCCATCACTGACTACTATCCTCCATAGTTAACTGTTGTCCACAAAAAAAATTCGCCACTTAATACGATTGGTCAAAAACAAAAGTTCAAATACAAGAAAAGGTCAGTTAATACAAGAAAAGGCCAGTTATTTTAATAAAAAAAAGACGCATTTAAAAAAGAAAGGTCGTAGATGTACTCAAGTTATAAGAAAACTATTTTATTAAAGAAACTCTAGATCGTCGTAGTGACAAGGATTTGCCTTCTCAAAACTGTGGAGAACGCTCTCTTTGGAAATAGCATCCCAGGCCATGATGGTACGTCGTATAATGTCGAAGCGCTTCTGGGCTGCTGTCTATCAACACCAACGACAGCAGCCCTAGAACTTGCCGCTTGAATTGTATTTTGTACGAGCGCTCGACGCGCACGTTCTGGTTTCGAAGTGACATAATTTTCTATGAACCGTGTCCAGTAAAATTGTAAGCGGTTTTGATTGGTTTTTATAAATTGCTTAAACAGAATATCATTGGCTACAATTGAAAAAAAGATTTTATCAGACCAGATATCCGGACATGTCTCATGGCGAATTTTTGTTTGGGGCGAATTTTTCAGTGGTCACCTGTACCTATTACTTGGCTATTACATATTAACAGAGTATTACCGCTACTATCAATCTCTGCTTATGACGTGCTGCAGAATAAAATCTGGATTCAAGTTAACTTCTTTGGAGCCCTAGCCTTCTTGCCGTGCTCCCCAACAAGGTGACCTTCATCCCACGCATGGGCCATGACAGCTA